ATTTTCATATGAAATTATTATATGACATATTATATCATTTTCAGTGGATCTTCACAAAGTGAGTTGCATAAAAATGACACTATTTTGTCAAACGGACCAAAAACATGGCATTCCACAAATTTAATTTTCAAGTAATTTTGTCATTTTGATAGATGCTATAATGTATGAAAGTAACATTTTTTCAATTTACTATTCAAATAATACCCAATACTTTTGACATTTTTAAATTCAAAATTAAATAAATAAATAAATAAATAAAATTTCTAATAAAAAATTCTTATCATGAAAAAAAAAAAGAAATTCTTATCACAAACCTTGTTTTAATTTCAAATCCAAATTCTCAGATCTAACTTTTTGTAGAATCTCAAAAGTAAGTATTTAATTGGGAAAAAAATTTAGAATACGAACAAAACAGGGCAAGATCAGCAAGGGGAGAAAAGAAAAGAAAAGAAAAGAAAAGAGAAGAGGAGAGAAGATGAGAGGAGGCCGGTGGAGAAAATTACATGGTTGTAATCGGAGAAGAGCAAGTGAGCGGCCTGAGCGTCCTCATAGCAAATTGTTGTTGGTCTTCATCGAAGATGGCCTGGGTGTCTTCATCGCAAATCTCTGTTAGTCTGCATCTGATCGTTGTTGGTCTCCACTCGTTGGAGCCGATAGCTATTTTGGGTTTTATTAAATAAAGGGTAAAAAAGGAGTTGGGAGTCCTATTTAGGGACTTTTAACGATTTGGATTTTAACGATGTGGTCAAAATCACGTTCGAAAAAAACTCGATTCGGTTACACCCCTAAGCTAAACCTTTTGTTTGGAATAACAATTTTTTCTTTCTGCTTAGCTCATCCCACTCTTCATTACTGGATCCGCCCTTGGCAGATTTTATATGCCACCTCATAAAATTAGACATTGTGTATCTTGTATTCTTTCCAATGGGTGTAGTCTTTGCTGAGTTGGCAAAAAAATAACTGCACACCGTGAAGGAGGCTTTTCAAGTGTAGAATGTACGATGAATTTGCTGACTCAACAAATTTAAACAAAAAACGGTGTAGGAAAACAAATACTCCGTAAGTAGCTAAAATTTCAGCGGAAACCACTCGTGACTCGCCCACCTACATCCCAAAATCGCAGTTTGATCACGTACGCACATATGCTTCCAGCAAGCGCGTGTATATACTTTGTAGTAATTTCATAGTCCCGTAATAATTAAAATAAAAAATTCCAACTGGACATTTGAATTGAGAGGGAAGCTTTTTATATATTTCAATGTAACGTCACCTCACTATGTAAAATTTAGATAGAAAAGCCTTTTGTTTAATTGACATTTGGCACACTTTATAAGGAGTAGAAGCTCCAGTACTGTGGATGCTCTTAGAAAAAGAGTTTTTCCAAACCTAAAATTCAAGTAATTCCATGATAGGAAATCCATATAATTCCATAAAAGTCCTACAGAATCTATTAAATTCAATTAAACTCCATAAAATCTAAATCTCTTAAAACTCATCAAAATCATAGTTTTATGGACACGTTCCTTAATGTATAAAAAGTTAATCATCAAGAAGTCTATATGTTACGTTACGAGAGGTTCGTGTACATATGTACTACTAAATCATTTTATTTGGAAAAGGTACAAATATGTCATTGAACTATAATAGAGAATAAATATATAAAGAATTGCAAAAATATTACTTATAAGGTTTTAGCAAACAAAAATATGACAACTTTATAAAAAGACAAAAAAGTGACCATTTAATTTAAAATGAACACATCTCTCACCTGTCCAGCCTGTCGCACTTCTCGTTGCCCGTCGCCCTTCTCTGTGCCTTATGTGCGCACTTTCCCTTATGTTTGGCCAAGCCTCCTCCATCTTCAAGCCAAGTCTTCTTCTTCAAGCTCCACCCAGATCCGTCAGCGTCACAGCTCCTCCTCCAGGTCACGTCGCTCCACCATCGCCGTCGTGATGCAAGGTTGCAGTGTCAAAGTGCATCGTTGCCGCCGAAGCCACACCTTCATCGCTCACCTCAGTTCGTACCTTTGTCGCTCACTGCCATTGGAAGTCTATAACCAACCTTCGTTTTCCTCATCCTTCTGTCTTGCATCAGAATGGCCATGGCGATCGATTTTCGCCCCTGCATTTTCAGATTTGGCAATAGCTAGGCTCCGAGACAGGCGATGGTCTTGGTCGTGTTTGGTGACTGAGGTGTGAGGTGTGGACTGTGGTGACTGGATCTGACGGCTAAGGTGCTACGGATGGACTGTGAGGGCTGGAGCTTCGATTTAAGGATGTACACTGCTTATGGGGTTGTGATGAAGGTTCCATGGCGGTGGGGTAGTGGTAGCAGTGCTAGGGGAGGTCTGTGAGAGTGGTTGAGGGGGGTGGGGACTGCTGTGAGGGTATGGGGACTACTGTGGGCTGGGATGGCGTAGGGGAGGGAGCTGAGGTTTGGTGGTCGAAGGTGGTGGTCGCTGGGGTGGCCGGAGAGGGGGTTGGGGTTTGGTGGTCGAAGGTGGTGGTCGCTGGGGTGGCCGGAGAGGGGGCTGGGGAGGTGGTGCTTTGGGATAGGGGTCAAGGAGAGGTTGGGGACGATGTTGCTCGTTGTGTGGGATGGTGATGGGGGGAGCGGTGGTGGACGGCGTTAGTGGCGGCTAGGCTCTGTAGTGGGACGACGGAAAAGAGGTGCCGGAAAATTTTCCGACAGTCACTGCGGCGGTGTCACTGTGGCGGTGTCACTCCGGCGACGTCATTTGTCGGCGTCACTGTGGACGGCGGCGGTCTTCGACGGACGACGATTACTGGTTAGATGTGGTGGTGCACGCGCTGTAGCACGTCACTGTAGCATGTCACTTGTCATTGCACTGTGTCACTTGTCACTGTACCGGGTTACTGTAGCGTGTTACTGTAGCTTATTAGTTATGAGTTATATTTTTGGAAATTAAAAAAGGTCACTTTTTTGTCCATTGTCTTTTTATTAGTAATATTCAGGTCGAAACCCCTTTAAATATATCCTTAACTGTCTTTCATTTGAAATGACTAAACACAAATAAATTAGAATGAATATACTCTTATGTTGTTATGTCCAAACAGTTACGGAGTATATAATTCCTTAATATATAGTTAAACGGTGTATATGTTCTCTAATATATAGTTCAAGGTATATTTATTCCAAACTTAAAAAATTATGTGTGTAAAACGGAGTATATAATTCTTTAATATATAGTTAAACGGTGTATATGTTCCAAGGTATATTATACTTACAATTTAGTGGCACGATATTTCATTATAGTACTATTCCAATTGTGTTCATTGCAATCCTCTTACTATATAATTTAGGAGAAAATTGTCCAACATATATATGACCAAAACTCAAGTTTTTTCCCAAAATAGGATCACATTATGCTTTTCTCTAAATAGGACTAGTCTTACCTTTTTTACCCCTAATTCTATTTAATTAATTATTTGATCTAAATAATTGACCTTCTAGTTTCCTTGCACAACCAAGGCAGTCCGTCAGTGACGGGGCAGTCCGTGGTGGCGGCAGCACTGCGGCAGATTCCGGTGGCGGCGGCGAACATCGGGAACTAATTAACCCAATTAATTGCTCCCCCCGTTCTCTTGCACAACCAACGCAGTCCGTTGATAGTTGGGGCAGTCTGATGGTGGCAGCAGCGGCGGCAGATTCCGGTTGCGGCGGCGAACTCCGGCGGCGGTGGTCGGCAGCGGCGGCAGCATAAAATCTGGCAGGGTGCGGGGAAAAATCTGCATTTTCCGGCGGTGCTCCAGCGGCGGCTGCGATGGTGGCGGCAGTGGCCGGAGGTCCGGCGGAAGGCGGTAGGCGATGGTCCGACAGTCCTGGGGCAACAGTGGTAAAGGTTGTGAGGAGTATTTTGGTCCAATCACAAATACAAACTCCTATTTAAGAATGTTTAAACTAGGTGCTCCTATTTTGGGAAAAAGCCATATTTTGCTCCAATTAAGGTAAATCTCCCATGATTCAGAGCTCGTTTGATAACACTGAAATTGGCTGAATTGGCTGATTCTGTTGAAATTTACGAAGTTCTGGCTGAAGTGACTATATTGGCTGATTCTGCTGATTTATGTGAAAAAAATATTTTAAATATTGGTTATTAATAATTAAAATAAAAAATTATAGGGAAAAAAGTTAGACAGGGCCTCGATCTTACAAAAAAACTTCAAATAAGGCCTTATATAGGAGGTTCTGTCCGGCCGACGCCATTTAGGGCGGTTCCCGGTGGAAATTTTCAATGAAACTTTTTAAGCATCTTATTCATTAAGTCTAGTTGACTCATACCAATTTTAAGCTAAAACTTCAATCGGGAAGGCATTCAAATAAATTCCTGGAGATAAGTGCGCAGTTAAAAGCGCAGTTATCTTAAAGAATTTATTTGAATGCTTTCCCGATTGAAGTTTTAGCTGAAATTTTGTATGAGTAAACAAGACTTAATGAATAAGATTCTCACAAAAGGTTATCGAAAAATTCCACCGGGAACCGCCCCAAATGGCATCGGCTGGACATAACCTCCTATATAAGGCCTTATTTGATTTTTTTTTGTAAGTTCGAGGCCCTATCTGACCTTTTTCTCAAAATTATATGAAAAAGTAGCTAAAATGATACTCTACCGTAACTTCAACCAATACAGCCAAAAAAATAACTTCAACCTTACTCTTTCTTACTATTACGCAATTCAGCGCACGATATAAAAAGTTATGTGTTTGGTGGAAAAAATTGATTGATAAGTCTGATAAGCAGAAAAAAAGCTACCAAATGGGCTCTTGGTACTACGCACAATATGATCGACACCACCAATTATCTTAACCTAACTAATAAAGGACACATATTCTTATTAAATGCTACACCCTCTTGGGACTTTGCTTTCTCCACCTGTACATTGCGCTACTATTGTTATACCCTGATTATTAAGCAGATGAAGACGTTAACCGATCGCTTACTTGCTTCACGCCGTCTAACTCTACCGGTTCAAACCAAATGGACTCCTTCGGACTGCTTCTTTTTCCCAATTCCGTTTCTGAAGCTAAACGGCCGTACTCTTCCACCGATCGTTCCACAAGTTGGAGCATCAATGGGGGTTTCATTAAATTCCTATTCAATGATGAAATTTGATCAGTTTCAGATGATTTCCTCCTATGCTTCTATAAATGGGGGTTTCCTTAGGCTTATCATCTTTTCCACGAGTCCTGATCACTACTTTAGTGAGTTTATATTCTTCCCTCCGGTAGTTGATGTTTATTGATTCGTTTAATTTGTTGCAGTTTTAGAACGTATTCTCTATGTTTGTAGACGACATTTGCCGAACTAACTCCAGTGTATTTGGCAGCATCGTACTTTGCATCTCTTTCCGTGCGTTTGTTTTGGAGGTTAGTTTGCTATTTTTCTCTAACTTTTGAAGTTTGTTCGGTACAAACTCTTCATCTAATTCTGAGGATCTTAGAAAAACATTGAAATCTGATAAACATTTTCTCAATACCCAATATATCCAGATTACTTTAACTGAAAACTACGATCGTTACTACCTCGATGTACACCTCTAGACGAAGAGTTTCTTTGCTATTATGCTCTCCTGTTTTGTAATTATGTTTCAGAATTCATACATGAGTTGTAGATTTGGATGCACAGATGCACTTATATTAACCTGAATGCATATATTTATATTAACCTGGCTGCAATTTGGATTTGACATGAAAATCACACTTGCACATGGCAGGTGTTTGATAATGTGCCTAAGTAGAGTAAGTTGAAATATTTTGGTTGCCTATTCTGATCGTCATAAGCAGCTTGCTACAAATGTTTGTCCACAACATTCTTTATACACTCCATCTTAAATGGGTTAAGATTTAACACCATAGGGAACTCAAAAAAATTTGAGGCAGGAGGGAATGCTCAAGGCATCAGATAGTACATTCCTGCTTCCAATCCCAGTTTATATTGTTAAAACAAATCAAATAAATCATCTGAGCCATAATTTATAATCTCCAAGAAATAATCAACAACCAAGTTTACTTCTGAAAACTATTTGGTAGACAAGCAGCTACTTATTACTTAAATAAGCAGCACTACCTTGTTGCTCCTTGATTTCATGCACATTTAAGTATCATGTAGAGTTCCCTCTCCTTCAACAGCTTTTCCTTGAGCTGCTATCCACATAAACTAAAAATAAAAATGTTTTGCCATGAAGAGTGTAGGACGTAGCTCCTCAAAAGATTCATACTGGGAAAGCTTCCCTTTGGTTTCTATAGACAACTCCCTTGAGTTCACAGAATCACAGAAGTTAGTTTCAGTCAGCTTTCTAGGGGGGTTTTGATATTATGGTTGGGCAGTATTTAAAAGCTGAGAACCTGTACAGTCTTTCCAATTGTGTGATCCAAGAACTTGCTTCAGAATTTCTACCTTCATATCTAGAGTCACAAATGGCCCAAAAAAACGAGAAAAACTGCTTAGCATTGACAAAACTCTTTTATGATGCGTTGATGTGTTCGGTTATGAATATTAGATGACTACTGTGTTATTAGATGTGTCATGTCAATCACCCCCGTTCCAGACTGCCAATTTGTTCTCCCCCAAGCCTCACTTTTAAAAGCATTATCATAAGTTAGTTTGACTAATGGACACAACACTCCATCATATTAAATATTGAATGAGTATAGCATGCAAATCACTATAATTATATTATAATTTTATACAATTTCTTTTCAATCTGCCTTCATATTGTCTAAATTATTGTTGGGCATATCACATTCGCGCAACGCGCGATCAATTTACTAGTACTTTTATATAGTGTAGAAACGCTTTACTAAAAAAGGATGACACCTCATTCCTGAGGGCGCCACAACACCGACCTGACAGTATGTTGGGATGATATAAGTTGGACATGGTAGCAACCTGTCAGATAGAGAGTGTGATTCTGTCCCTGGTACTTGGAGAGGCCTATACATTTTTTTAGCAATGTGGAAGCGCTTTACTTATGTTATGACATGGTAACATGCTATTGATGTCGTTTTACCTTTGATGACGGCATCGACTATTAAAACATACTCCCTCCGTCCCTGAATTATCTTCAAACTTTCCTTTTTCGCCCGTCCCAAAATTATCTCCTCCTTCCGTTTTTGGCAAAGAATTTGTGGTTCACAATCATTCTTACACATTTCTCTCTTCTCTGCACAACTCTCCATCACACAAAACTCACTATCTTAATAAGTGTGCCCAGCCAAAATGGGAGATAAAACAGGGACGGAGGGAGTACTTTCATTGACTGTACTTTTTTTTATTGAATTTTCACAGTACCATGTTTGGCATAACTGCTGACTGCATAAGGGCCCAGTTTTATATAGGCCCCTTAATTTTTAATACGGTACTTCTTATATACTAGTACTCTAGTAGTAGCAATAATAGGTTAATTTTTCTCCCTTCCCGGTTAGTTATTTTTCATTTCACTTGACGGGAAAGCCTTAATATCCCTCCGTCATAGCATAAGTTCCTCACTTGCCTCTTGGGCATTTCACTTAAAGATTTTCATATTTATTTTTATAATAATTAGCACTTTTAAATAATAACAAATATTAATAACTATACATATATAACATCACAATTATCATCAATAACATCATTATATTATATACCATCAAAACTACTTCTCAAATTGTACTCAAATAACCTTATATAGTCGTTGTTTAAAAAATTGTTTAAATAATTGTGTCATTTTTAATGATAAGATTAAACCGGAACCGTAGTACTGTAATACGAAGTACTCCCTCCGTCTCATTTAAAGGTTCTCGTTCATTGTTCTCTGGTCAACATGAAGTGTTCTTAATCTTTTACTTTATATATTCAATTTTTTTCAAATTATTTTTTCTTGATTAGGTATTATAAACTTTTAATCTAGTTTCTGAATATGTAAATGTTATTTACTAATAATAATCATATTAATCAAAATGATTAGTTAACTTTATGGTCAGTCAACATCGTAAACCTCACGAGAACCTTTAAATGGGACAGAGGTGGTAGTATATGACATCAATATTAGTGTAGGATTAAGGATTTCCAAAGTTTCTGGATCCAAATTGAGAGCCGTATAGGTCTAGTGAGTAGTGACAGACAGTCTACAATGTACAGCCTTGATGTTATTTGGCCCTCCGGTGTCCGTTCAAGCATTTAGGCTTAGCCTTCTTAATCTCTACAAGTCATTTTATAGATAAGAATTAAAATTAAAAGTCAAGAGACTTTACGACTGCAATCTAAAAATAAATTGAAGATTCCTTTTAAACACAGCCATTTGTATATGTATTTATTTATGCATACCCCTATTTTGTATTTGTGCACACCCAATTCGTCTAAAAAAGCAATAATTGAATAGTATTTGTGTACAAACAAATAAATACTCATTATCTTACAATTTAAAAGACATTTGGCTGCACAAGAATAATTGAAAGAGATCTCGCCTGTTCAAAAAACTTAGTGACTTACGCGTTATGATTCACGATCAAATTTAAAGGCTGAAGAGTATCTTTTATGGAAAGTATAGTCGCGAGCGCATTATATTTGACAACGGAGGGTAATTCGTACGATAGTATTTATGATATGGAGTATAACATTATTTTTGACATAAACAAGTTTTGGAATTCCAAATAGAAGTCGTATGTTATCTTTCGAGTATCATAACACATGTAGTTACCTTGTAGTCATATTGTCAAATACTTACAGTATATGCATTACATATGACAGTATTTTTTGATCATGAAAGTATTTTTCAATCATGGAAGTAATGACTCATATTTCGAGAAGAAAACTATATTTTGGAATTCTAAAACTTATTTAGTCATGTTTAGGCCAATTTCTCTTTAAATAGGACTTTGCATTATTTTATATAATACTCCATCTGTTCCATAAAATAGTTCTTACTTTGTTTTGGATCGGAGTTTAAGAAAGTGAGAGTAAAGTGAAAAAGTATTGTTGTAATTGATTAAGAAAAATGTAAATGAATGGTAGTCACAAACTCACCCAAACTTTCAAAGATGAAAAATGAGAACATTTTTTAGACAGTACAAATAAGAAAGTAGAGACGGAAGGGTGTATAATTTTTTGTGAATGCTACGTGACCTCAATTTTCCGTCTAAAATAGAACCTTTAAAATTCATAAGACTTGCGAATGATCAAAACTTGCGAATGATCAAAATCTATTATTTATTATTTATAATATAATAGTAAATGGGTTTTGCACATTGTTCCCGCCTAAATGCCCTGCAAGAACAATCTACTATGCCTTGCGGAGAGATGCACCAGATTATTATCATGTAATGCACTACCTGTTACATCTCTGGATTATTGTGACTTTTATTGCATTAACTATCCGTCCAAATGCTTCTTAAAAACACCTGTCCAACCCTTTGGGTTTTCTTTGTGGATTTACGGTACTAATAAAAAGTCGTCATTGGAAATATGTCAAATTTATTAAATTGGCAAGCTCAATGTAAGGAACTTAATCAATTATTTACATCATAATTAGTATAAATAGATAACTCAATGCACGCAATGTTGTTCAATTCCTGCTTCAGAGATAGTGCTACCTGATTATTTTGTTATCTTTGTTCATTCGAAACGATAGTGTTGTGAAGTAAAGCAAGTTTTCATTTGCAGTAAAAGTGAGGACGGTCCGCCAAGCATGGAGTGATGTATTTTTCGTGACAGATCAGATATCTTACTGCCACTCTACACTAACTAATTGTTAACATGGTCAAGAGACAGAAATTCCACCCCTTTTCTGGATGTCATATTTGAGAAGAAATAAAATAAAATTCATACGAAATATTTTTCTTTGGTTATGTTTAAAATTTCATTTGGTTACAGAAATTTATGTATTGAAGGTTATGGTTCTGGATTCTTGGCCAGATTTGAAATAAAGACAAATGACATACAATCAACAGATTAGGAAGTAAGACAATCTATGAGTGCATCATAAGTTTTTTTTACCAGAGTACATCATAGGTTAAAAGGCGTGAATATTCATAAGAACAAATGACAAATAACTATTGTGATTTTGACTTTCTCAATTAGTAAAACCAATAAAGCAAGTGAACACCAAACATGCATGTAATTTGTTTAGCTATTCTTATTGATTAATGCTATGTTTTATTCATCCCCGCATCAACATGTATATTTTTAGACAAAATTTAATGTTCTCAAAAATAGTTTTTGAAAAATCATGCATCTTTGAGTTTTTTATTTTCCAAATCATGTAAAAACTTATGTAAATTAGATAAGTATTGACTAGACACTACAACAAAACAAGCCTTCGGCAACGCTTACAAAGTGTTGCATTAGATCATTATATTGTTACAAAAGGCTATTGCAACACTTTTTTGGGCGTTACTTCAGGTCTCGTTGCATAAAGTCATATGCAACACTTTTATCTTATTATGCAACACTGATTGAAAGTGTTGCATGAATGACTCAAATGCAACACTTTTTTGCAACACTTTGACGAGCATCTAATGCAACACTTTTTGGAATAAAAGCAACACTTTAGGTATGACTTTAGGTAACACTTTTTAGTATATATGTAACATATTTACAATATTATTTTGCACACTAATAATATTTTGTAACACGTTATGAAAATTTTAGGCAACATTTTATTCAAAATTGGCAACAATTGGCATCTAATATGCAACATTATATTAATCATTTTGCAACATTATTTTGATAATTTGAGCTACATGTTTACATATAAAACAGCATGCCTATTATACAAATTTTATACTTCGTATACAATAACAATATTTCAAGTATTAAAATACTCATAATCTGTAATGATGAAATATCCAACACATGTTATCCTAGAATGAATATCTTGAATACAAGCATCTCGAATAATGCATTATAAACAAAAAACTAACATTGTCCAATTTGAAAAGAAAACCAAAATATCAGAGCATACTTCTAATAGCAACTAAAAATCTTCTAACTGGCCGGAACCAAACAGGCGGAAGACAAGTAACTTCATTTCTTCAATTCTATAATTCAAGTGAAGCTGGATCAAGATCTGTAATCAATGTAGCAAGCTTTGATAGAACCAATTTCATTTTCTGTTTCTCAATCTCACATTCCTTGCGCATTTGTTCTATTTCAGCATTCTTTTTCTCGTTTTCTTCTTCAAACTCCTTCCTCAAAGTGCTCATAATTGTATTCATATCATTTGGTGTCATTGAATCAGACTGTTCAGCCTCTTTTGCCTTAGCAATGACTTTTTTGGTAACACCCCTTCCACACATTATTGGACAACCATTTCTCTCTAGGGACATAACAACGGAATTTCCATCAATTGCACCTTCACATTTATCTATATTTTGTGCCTCATGATCCTGCATCTCAACCTACAATATAAAACAATACACCATATGGAGAAACTTATTTGCCTCCATAGAGGAATACCAGTTTTCAAAAGGTAGATATATACAAGGCATTCTAAATGTGCAGTTTATAGTATACCATAACTAAATATGCTTATATTAAGAAGAAGAGTTCAATTAAATCAGTTCTATTAACAATTTTTACTACAGTAAGGGACAAAATAGTCCCAGGCCTTTATGATGGTTATTTTTACAACATCATGGAGTTTTACAAGCCCTAAGACTTCTCATTCTTGTTATTCCAGTCAAGACAGTTTTCAAGAAAACTGACATACTTGGTTTAATGATCTACGACTAGAAACTGAAATACTCAATTAACATCCCCAAATAATAGATATAGTACATTATTGAAATCAATATAAAAAGTAATAAGTGAAACAAAGAAGTACCCCTCTTGGCGGCAGAAAAACCCTCTAACTTAAGAGAGGATAGAAACACCCTCTAACTTAAGAGAGGATGGACAACAAAAATAAAATAGGATTATATTTCGGACACATGGAAGTGGTGGATAAAATATGACCAAGTACAAACTCTGGTACTCAATTGAGTGCTTCCAGAATAGTCGGGAACACAAACAACTTATTATCTTCCAGAATAGTCGGGATTTCACATCTATAGTAGAATTGGAATTAAAGAATGGAGCTTCTTCCCATAACAGCTCTTTGTTGGAGTCAAAGCCTATAATAACTACTTGGTGTTAAGGACTTGTCTTATGGTTCGACACTGGATTCACAGATAGGTTCTATAAGGAAATGCCAACAAATCTGTCAACGTCTCCATACCAGCCAACAACACACTGGTCACAGACTTTACTGACCTTCCAAGAACCAATTGCAAGGTCATTAGGAAGTTAGAAGCACTAGGATTAAAACATTCAGTCTAACATAATAGTTTTGTTATTTATATTTGTGCAAAACTGCAAACTCATTTTATATAAAAACTAAGGAAAATAAACATATGTGAAAATATTTAAAACGTAATCATAGTTCATGCTCCTTTGCACGAACAAAAGAAAAATAACTTCCCTTATCTCTTCTTCATATCCCTTGCATTTTCTGTGATCAAAACATACCCTTAATGTGTAACTTTTTTTAGGATCCTCCACATAAAGAAGTACGAAAAGCTATAGAGGATTGCAGAGAAGCCGGAATTCGTGTTATAGTTATAACAAAAGTACAGGTGAAACAGTTTGCCGTGAAATTGGTGTTTTTGGACCCCATGAGAGTGTTACCTCTAGAAGCTTGACCGGGAGAGAGTTCATGGAACTTGCTGACCCAAAATCAAATTTAGGACAAAGTGGAGGGCTTCTGATCTCTAGGGTAGAACCAAGGCATAAACAAGAGATAGTCAGGATCCTCAAAGAATGTGGTGAGGTGGTTTCCATGACTGGGGATGGGGTTAATGATGCACCTGCGCTCAAGTTGGCTGGTGTTGGAATCGCAATGGGAATTACAGGGACTGAGGTGAAAAGTTAACTGATTCAAATAAACACGCAAGAGGGTTGTTCTTTCTGTATCAATGAATATTTGGCAAAAGCAATCCAATTAGTAACATTCGAAGTCAATTGTGATTCTTAATCTCTCAAATGATTTCAAGACCAGTATTTATGTTTTTGTCAGGCAATGCTTATTTTGGGTGCACTAGTTAATGAGAAACTTATTGAATCGGTCATTAATTGCATTTTCCTTTTTTCCTTCTTCGTTTCTCCGCCTCTCTCTTCAGGTAGAAAAAGAAGCTTCTGACATGGTTCTGGCAGATGATAATTGATAATTTTAGCACAATTGTTGTTGTTGTTGAGGAAGGCAGGTCCATATACAACAACATGAAAGCCTTCATCAGGTCTACTTCTGTAGTTCTGTTGTTTAAGTTTGTCTCGTTTATATTAAAATGACTAGACTACTCCTATCAGATAAGTGACCAAACTACTTCTATCAGATAAGTGACAAAAAATAGTTGTATAAGAACGATTTTTTATCTCAAAAGAAACAGTTGAAAAGAACAGACCACAACAAAACTATTATGTTAGACTGAATGTTTTAATCCTAGTGTTTTAATCACCATCACTTTCTTACTTCTACACTGTAAACACCAACACGACCAACCTCAAACAGAACACATAAAGACAGAAATCAAGACTCAGAAATGCCCAAAGGATTATTGGCACAATTCACAGTACCTGATAACTGTAAATGCTTTGTACTAGTACTGCCATCATTAACTAATGAAGTCTCATGTTGCATGGAAATGATTCAAACTAATTATTTTTATATTAAGGGTAGTATCAGGCAAAGTATCAATTACTGTGGCATAAACAATTAACGGGGTGAATTGTCTCGACTTCTGTTATCGGCGCCTTCCAAGCAACAAAGTATAGTGAGTAGTGAGTCTCCACTAATAAGCTGATTAAGTCTTTCATGGAAGCTTTCAAAGCATTAAAATGAAATGGAGTACAAAATTGAACATTTAAGTCAAAAGTGTAAAAAATGACATGGCGTTTTGTGGTTTGATAGTAACACTTGATAAGATCTATTTTTTTAATCGAATAACTTTTGAAGTACAAGCTTAACACTCTGATTTCATTATCATGATATGTTTGTAGTTCAAAAAAGCTAAATGAAGTAGCTAAAACTATTCACAACAGAATAAATCAAATTAATCCATGTTGGAATAAAACACAAAAAGCACCAAATATGAACAGAGCTACACAAATTAAATTAATACAGAGTACAAGAAATTTTCATATTCATTTGAATTGAATCTGAACAAATTGAAAAAATAAACATTAAAGGAACATCAAAAAAGATTTAAGAAAACCCCAATATCAAACAAAAGATTGAACAAACTAACCTGAATAAGAGATGGAAACCTGGGAACTTCGGAAAGAATGAGAATATTTTCTGGGAAGAGAAAAAATAACTTTGAATTAAGAACGAAATCAAGAACTGGAGTGGAATCTACGCAGGTTTCAAAACCGGACAGATGTTCGATTCCAGAAATCAAAACACCTAACTGCAATTTTTAACTAAAATCGTCAAATAGCAGGTCTGCAATTCACTCGTCCCCTTTTGAGAATCCGAGAAACGAAATTACAACTAAACAAGCTATCCTCACTCAAGAACAGGGTCTATGAGTTCATCTAAGGAAGATAAACACACACAAATACTATTCGCGATTTTGTATTCCATAGTTGAGCTTTTGGCCAAGATTCATGGTTCTAAATTCAAATCCAGACTCGGAATTGAAAACGGGGGTGAAAAATGACCAAGAACAACAAGAATCCAAAGTCCAAACATCAAACTTCCATAGAATCGAACATCGTTAAAGCCTGTACGAACGAAGAGAACTGGGTCGCGATTGTACCCAGGAGAGAAACGCTCTCAACTCTTCTCAGATTTTTAACGTGATTCTACCGTGAAAGTATGAGAGTAATTCAAATCATACTTTAGGAAAAAAGATTCTGCAGAACAGAGAGACGCACAGCTTGGGGCCAAGAGTATGGTGTTGGCGAGATTCTTATTCTGAGAGAGAAGCGGAGCCGACTGCCGAGTATAGCGAGATATCCATACTTCTGAGAGAGAAGAGAAGCAGAGCCGACTGCCGAGGAAAGAAGAAGGCTGTGGTGGGAAAGTTTTGGAGTTAGGGTGAGAGATACGGAACCTAATTGGGGTGTTTTTTTAGCGGCGGGAAAGTTTAGTGAATAAGCGGGAATAGAATTGGGGTGTTTAACTTTTTAATGAGATGTAACATGAACGGAATTTATATTTTAATTTATTATCAAATGCAACACTAGTAAAATAATGTTACATAATACATAATGACATGCAACCGTTTTATGAAAGTGTTGCGTAAACGCGTACTTCAAATGTTTATGTAACATTTATAAATAAGTGTTACTTAATTCAATATTTTAATGCTATACGTAACAATTAAAATAGTGTTGCAAACAAAATGTTACAAAATATGAATTTTGTTGTAGTGAGATTAAGTTAGATAAGCATATATCTAACTTTGCTATAAATATTGTTAGACTTGATAGGTTGCTTACAAATTAACTACCTTTTAAAAGAATTGAAATACATTAACTTTTAAATGGATTAAAAGCATAATTATGATTATCCTACAAGCTAAGCATTTTCTAGCAAATATGTTTGAAACTACAAATAGAGCAGAAAGCATTGATTTAAATACTCCGTATAAAAAGTATGTTTTTTCTCATATGAGCCTCATAGGAGGACTTCACTATATGTAAAACATATACTCCGTAATAATTTTCTAAGAACAGTTTCATAATTTTATGAAAAAGTAATACTCTGTATATCTCATAGCTAATGTCAAACTATGATGTACTGCGTATTTTACAAGTTTAAAATATCAGTGAGAATTGCAGATAGTTTGTGTAAATAAATTTTAGACAACATACAAGATCAGTGAAAAGATTATTTTTAAATGAATGACAAAGCAACTCTGATCCCAAGATTTTGTCGCGTATACAACACAAAAATATGGGTTAAATACTTCTTGAGTTTTAGATTTTGCATAGGCTATTTAAGATGTATTTTTAAAATATATTTTGAAGAATAACTGTGGCATTTTATAAACAAATACGTTAAGGCAGAATTCATATTCTAATATAAAGAAAAACATAAAGGATTTTAAAGAAAAATTTTACTATGGTGCTAATATAAAACACATTTTTCCTTATAGTGTTAAAAGAAGACAAAAAAGGTTGAAGAGTGGAACTCCAAATAAGTGCATGAAGAAAGCCTTCTTATTAGTGCCTGGAGATTATTCTAATAAAGGTCAACTCATTAAATGGGGTAATCATCTAAAAGTTTTCTGGTACACGATATTCTTAAATGGGGTAACTCATATTTTGGACTTTGAGTATTATTTAAAATTAGTAGAGTAAGGATGTTTTTGCTTGGACTGTAATTCGTCTCAGATCAGACCAGATCAGATCAGACCAGAACAGACCAGTTCAGACCAGATCAGACCAAACTTGGATAGTTATAAAAATACAAAGAAACCAGACCAAACCAGACCAGACTAGTTCAGACCAGACCAGACCAGATAAGACCAGACCAGATCAGACCAGACCAGACCAGATCAACAAATTACAGTCCAAGTAAAAACATCCTAAAAGTACAGCCCGGTTGAATTCATTGAATCTACTATGTAGAGTTATATTTATCTTTACTATGTACTATGTATTACTTTTTCTTTACTAAACCAGTAGTTATCACAACTTTGTATTAAACTAAAAATATATCAAAATGTTCATTATTAAAAAAATGATACAGTAATTATGAAAAGTACTGTTGTTTTTTATTTTTTCATGCAGTAGTAATTATGGAGTATTTTGTTGCTTTTTATTAATATTATTAATAAAAAGCACTACTTATTAGAATTCTTACAGTAGTTAGTTTTATAAAACTTGATATATGAACAAGTTAAAACACACATATCTTACATAGCACATATTAGGATTTGAATTATTAGTAAATATTAAATATTATAAAATAAATTATCATAAAAGGAAGTGTAAAAGTCGTGGATAAATCCTAATTTTATATAGTAATTGTCATTAATTTTGAAATTAATTATTTTATTTCATGCTTAAAGCTACGGTTTCTAGAGCCACCAATCATTAAAACTTTGTGAATAGATGAGGATGGTCAAAGCACAACGAAGATAACTAATACGTAGTATTGTGACTATTGTCTACCAAAAAGTTTTCAAAAATTTATAAAACTCATGTTGGATTTGGTTATTAGTAATTTTTTAAAAGCAGTACATTTAGTTGTTCTCCTTTATTAGAAATAAAGAAGTTTTTTTAGTGCATATTGTTATTTCCTTGAGTAGTTAGTATGAAATTTGTTTGGCCGTGCATCGCACAGGTGAGCTACTAGTATTTTTTGAAATCGTCATTCAAATACTTTTATGTAAGAAAATGATCGAGGGGTATTTGAGACATTTTAGTCTTCTTTGGATCAATTTTTTGTCCCAAACGCTTATTTATGTCCGCCGAAGACTATGAAGTCACCTTTTCGTCATTCTTTCTTAAACAAAACTATCTACAAAATATTGTACATGGACGAAATCAAAAGCATGTACACAATGGAGGGACTAAAATGAAAAAATGATCATTTTATATACTAGAACACTTGTTGTGTTTTAGGTTGACTTTGTTTCTCAAGTAGAATGTCACAATACTTTGCTGTGTTTACATGAATGTTACATTCTATATGATAGTTTTATTTGAGTTGTGCTAGGTGTACACATTTTTGTGTACATCATTTGTACATTCGTCTATCTCACGCAGACAGGATTGTCTGTCCACAGACAACACTGTAAAGTTGTCCGTGGACAGACAATTGTGTGTACGTAAGACAGACGATTGTATAAAAAGTGTATACAAAAATGTGTAAACTAAGCATTTTTCTTTTTATTTAGGTCAAATTTACTCAAAGTGTCCCTCTAAAATTGTAATGCGTTATGAGATCGATTTTACGAGATGAGATACGAAGGAATCAAGACTACGTGAGATAAAATTATATACCTACGGCCTTTTGGAAAGATTTTTTTAATCTGTGGTTAGACGGCATCAAGGCACGTAAATAAATACATACTCTCATCCCATAAAATTCTTTCCCGTTTGATTTGAATTAAAGTTTGAAAAAGTGAGAACAAAATGAAAATGTATGATTGTAGACAATTATGATAATTGAGTAAAGAAAAACTAAATGAATGTCAGCCTCATAAAACTTTCCAAAAAGGAAATGAGAAAAATTATTTTGGGACATCCCAAAATGATAAGTGAGAAGAGTTTTATTGAATCTTATCTCTTCCATGTTGGAAAATATTAAAAGTGCCAAAATTCACATTAGATTTAGTCGCGCTTATGCAAAGAAAAAAAACAATACTCCGTATGTATTTGCATTTTCAAAATTTATACTGCCTTTTGTAGCTGTTTTCATTTTCCAAAAGCATTACAAAAAGATAATCCACATTATTGTTCAGTAAAACACAGTTACAAACAGCTGACTGTGTCTCTCTCTTATTGATTAACATAAATTGTATTAATACTACTATTTAAATATTTAATTTATTAGAATAACGGGAAATGCATCAAGAGAAAAAGTAGGAGAACAACGTGTATTAATAAACTAGTATTGTACCCGTGCGATGCACGAGACAAAGGTTTTTTTGTGTAATGCATACGATATGAGAAGTATAATACATAATGAAATATGACTTCAAGATGTATTTAGAACTTGTATGGTAACAATTAATTTTTACTATCTATCGAGCTTTTGTCAAACACATGAATTTTGATCCCACACGTTGGATTGTGTAATAATAAAAAATAAGTAAAATTGAAATTACCTTTCATGCTGAATTATTGACTCAAATTGCTGAAGTGAGACTATATTCAAACTACAACGTAATTCTTTCTTTATTTTCATAATATTCTCTCTATTTCATTAATAAATTATTTTTAAATGCTTCATACGTTCTCAAATAAACTTCACACTTTGAATTTACGATTTTTAAGAAAGTGAGGTTTTTTCTTTTGACTTTACCATCATACTCCCACAAAAAGTAGATTAAGTGTAGTGAGTGAGAAAAATGGTGTAAAGTAAATAATAAAATAAATGTATAAGAGTAACTTTATATTAAGAAGTTATCAAAAATAAAAGTGTAAACTTAATCTTGCACTTGTCCAAAATGAAAAATGTGAAATTTATTTGGATTGATATGTTTTTTCAGGATTGAACAGATTCATTGAACCAATTATTAATTTTAGGGAAATTTTCCAAAATAGGAGTAACAGAGTTTGCAAATCCAAAATAGGACTACTACGTTTTTATTCCCGAAATAGGACTAACATGGTAGTATTAATTATAACTAATAACAATATATTTCAATTATGGCAGTATTTTTCATACATGGCAGTAACAACTCCTATTTCGGAAAGAAAAATACAGTAGTCATATTTTGGAATTGCAAACCTCATTTACTCCTATTTTTTGTAATTTCCTTAATTTTAATGTTACCAAATATGCTCTTAGTGTAAGTAGATCGAAGTACATGTTTAATACTTTAATACAATAAAAAATGAAAAAAATATTATGAAATCACAGGAGTATAAAAACTTAAACAAAATATCTCCCTAGACATTTTGAAAAATTGTAAACATGGATTGTGGAATTAGAAATTACTCGAAATAAGACTAAAACTATGACAAAAACTCAAAATATGACTTACTTTGTTTTTCTTTTCAAAATAGGACCATATTAGTCCTATTGGAAACATACATATTTTTTTATTCCATTCTTACCCTTCCTTTAAATATGAGTTAATTAGATGTTTAATTCATAATAAATTCGAAAAAAAATTCTAAAATTCGTAGAAAAAGAATTAAAAAATTTATAAAATATTTATAAAATAAAAAATTAAAAAAAAAATTAATTTTTTTTAAAACATTAATAAAAAATAGTAAAACTCCATAAAACAATGGATGCCTTTCCCACCGCCTGTACTACCTCCCTGTACCACCATCTCCGGCCAGTGAAAAAATGTCATTTTCCCTAAAAACTACCATTTTTTCCTGAAAAGTGCAAAAAATGTGGCATATTTCTCTTTGAGAATGCGAACATTTTCATTGTTTTCTATCATAAATTTGGCATTC